TGGGTCGTCGCTGCAGCCGCCGAGAGCAGAAAAGGACGACGCTGCGGGCGGACTTGGCCAAGCAGGGAGGCGGGGAAGGGGTGTGTGAGAAGGGCCGTGAGTGGGTTTGGCATCGGGGAGAAGGACCTCGAACTTGTCCCTCCTGTGCTACTGGTTGATGATCTTTTTTTAGATTCTGGAGACAGTCGGCGTTTTTTTTCTTGACTTTCTCTCGGCCTTTGTCAGTGTGTTCGTAGCCTGAAGTGAGTGAGAGCATTTTAGTGCAACCCCTGAGTTGAGATGGGCGTGGGGGGGTGAAGCCGCCGGAGGAAAGAGGATTGGGAGGGGAACCGGGCCGGAGGTGGTGGCGGGGGGCGTGGGAACAAGATGATGAGGGTACTAATAGTTAACCGGTACCGCGTGTACTGTGCCAGACACTGTTCTCAAACCCATTATACGTGGTAATTAAGTTTCCAGTCTTATGAAACCGGTATTCTTCACCAACCTCAGCTTACAAATGGGGACACCGAGGCTCACAGGTTGTAGAACCTGCTCAAAAAAAGACAGAATGAAACGTGCAGAGCCAGGATGTGCATTCTGGTGGGCTGATCTCAGGACATACCTCTGAGCAGCACCCAGTGGTCGTACTCCGTCAAGATGTGAAGAAAGTGAGGACATACGGAGTGAAAGGCTGGTAGGGCTTGAACAGGTGGAGCAAGGCATTGACATTGTAGAGGGTGTGAGATCCTGGTGTGTAAGGTGAAGACACATGTAAGCGAGGGTCGAGTTGGGACTGTGGCCTTATAACCCTCNTGGTAGGTGGAGCAAGGCATTGACATTGTAGAGGGTGTGAGATCCTGGTGTGTAAGGTGAAGACACATGTAAGCGAGGGTCGAGTTGGGACTGTGGCCTTATAACCCTCACCTCCAGCGTTGGGCTGGGGCCTTCCTGTCTAGAATTCTGTGGGACAGGGAGGAGAGGTACACAGCCACACACCTCCGCTTGAAAATGGATTACTTGGTGTAGCCACCTTATTTAGCAAAGGAAGCCCAAAGATACGAAGTAATTTATTCAAGGTCCCCAGGATTAGAAACATGTATTTTGTCTTAGGTCCAGTGCGATAAAGTTTAAGTTCTTTCCTCTTTTTTTAAATCCTCACCCAAGAATATGTTTTTCCTTTTTTTAATTGTTTTTTTTTTTTAGTGAGAGGAAAGGAGAGAGAGAAAGACAAACATGCATATCAGAGAGAAACATCAATCCGTTGCCTCCCATAGGCACCCCGTTCGGGAATTGAACCCGCAACCTGGGTATGCGTCCTGACCGGGAATCAAACCAGGGACCCTGCAGTGCACAGGACTATGCCCCAACCAACTGAACCACACTGGCCAGGGCAATTCTTTCCTCTTTTTTTCCTGCTCTACTTGCTATAGTGAATATTAAAGTTTAAAAAATTTGGTGTATCATTTGACTTGGACTGGTTACTTATATAGCCATATGAATTAGGTATTTATAACATCAAATAGTCAAATAATCTTTCCCCCATTAATGTGTGTCCCAAATTCAATATAATGCTGAAACCAGGAGCTGCTTCGGACACAACTTAGTGACAACTGAAATCTTTCAGTATTTCTGAGAATTTCATTAATAAATGAAAGAAAATAAGGTTCACAAGGCAAAGAGTAAGGTGATTTACCTTGGAAAACACACACCTAGGTTTAAAAGAAAAAGGAAATCTCTACACATGTTGAAAAAAGAGGTAAATTTTCATCAATTAATAATGTACTGTTGCCCTGGCCAGTGTGACTCTGTTGGAACGTTGTCCTATAAACTGAGGGGTTGCAGGCTCAATTCTCAGGGCACATGCCTTGGTTTTGGGTTCGATCCCTGGTCTGGGCACATACAAAAGGTGACCAGTTGATGCTTCTCTCTCACATTGATGTCTCTCTCTCTCTCTCTCTCTCTCTCTCTCTCTCTCTCTCTCTCTCTCTCTTTCTCTCAAATCAACATATCCTCGAGTGAGGATTAAGGAGAAGAAGAATAAAAAAGGGTACTGTTCACAAATGCAGTAAGTCTAATGGAGTGTAATAATCAAAATGTTAGCATATTCCAGAGAGGTAATTTGGAGTAGTTGAAATCATGGGCTTAAGAATCAAGTAGATCAGTGTAGTCACTTATTTGCTGTGTATAATTGATTTACTTAACTTCATTTGCCCTTGATTTCTTTATCTCTAAAATGGAGGTAATAGTTCATAACTTGCAGAATTAGAAGCAGTGTTTGTAAAGTACCTAGCATAATGTCTGGAATGAAGTTGATGATAAATACACAGCCACTGTTACTCCAAGTTAAATAAAAGTGAAGCATTGCTGAACCTTGTCCCATGGCAGCTTCTAGACTTGATATTCAATGGAAGGGTCAAAGACTAGCCTCTCTTGTTGGCCTAATGGTGAAAAATGTTTATTCATTTCTTGAAGGGTAAGTCTGTTATTTCAAAGTGAATGGTAGTATTAGATGTATGGGTAGCCCAGGGACAGTGATATACTCGCCACAATCCTTTAAAACTATTGTGGCTTTTAAAAATAACCTATTTTTGAACTGTTTTGTTTCCTGAACAATTTAGATTCTAAGTAACTGACGTTTTACTTTACAGATGCATGGTCATGGAGGCTATGACTCTGATTTTAGTGATGATGAACACTGTGGAGAATCTAGCAAAAGGAAAAAAAGGTAACTTTTTATTGATCTGTGCTTCAGATCCTTTCTAGATTGAGATGAGGTATAAATAAATAATAATGAAAGTGTTTGGATTGTGTTTGTGAAGACAGCGATGTTCTACTGAATGAATTTTGTTCATATAATGAATTGACTGAAAATTTTGAGAACAGTTACATGAAAAATAAAATGTTTATGCTGCGAAGGGATTTATGGAAGTGGAAAGGAGAGACGGACTTTCTGCAGATGTCATGCTAAAACAGGGCTTGGTTGGTGATCCCTTTGCTAGTATTTGACTTCAAAATAAGGTTAATGTGGAGGATGACATTGTGATGCAGCACAATTCTTATGGTTTTGTGAATGAACAAACTAAGTGGCCTGGAGAAGGAGTTCATGGAAGTTTTTATTGAATTGGAAGGGACAAGATCTGTCAGCAGATAAAGCTGGGCCTTATAAGGAGGCTATTATATCTTGGTGGAATTGTTGTCTTTAGAGGCATGGTTTTTAGCTTTTAGTGCTTAGAAACTTGATTTTATCCATTAGCTTAAGAGTGGTTGACTGACTGATTAATCAAGCTTATAAAAATTGGTTTATTATTTTATACCAAGAGCAATATATTAGGCATACTAATTGAGACTGAATATTTTTGTTGGGTATTCAAATCTTTGTGGATAACCAAAAGAATAGAAATAATTATAACAAATTACATTTTATGTTGCTTTACATTTTTAAGATTTTTTATTCAAAAATATTACTTTGTAAGAATAGAACTTAAATCTAGTTAGTCTTCTCTGCTCTAGGGTTACATATATCTATATAACCAGGGCTAATTGTATATAGTTTATATTATCTGTAATCAGTCCTCCTTTTTTCATATCATCGGTTACCAAAAACTTTGTCGTCTCTACAAACAGGGAAATTGTGGCACAAGAACTTAAGTAACTTAATTTTATTTAAGATTAAGATAGTGAATGACAGAGCTAGAATTTGAACCTAGGAATCTAGGTAGTCAGACACCGGGACTCATACATTTGTTAATTTCATCTGCTGCTCCATTTTATAGGTATAAAATAAAGTTAAGATATTAAGCCATTTAAGGAGACATAAAATGTCTCATTAAAGATCAGTGAGTCTTTTTTAAGTTAAGACTTAAATTCTTTAAAACATGTTCCAATTGTGAAAATATAAAGAAACAGGAAACCCTTTGAGATAAGCTCTTTTAGTAATTTTTCTTCTTAATAAACCAGGACTGTTGAAGATGACTTACTGCTCCAAAAGCCATTTCAGAAAGGAAAACATGGAAAGGTGGTCCATAAACAGGTTGCAGCAGAATTGCTGGATAGGTATGGTATTTCAACGTAAATTACTTTTTTTGATTTAAGACATTTTTGTAAACTCGGGGGCTTGAGGATTTGAACCTATTAATTAGAATATAGACATTGAAATTTGCTTAAAATAAAATTTGTCTTAACAGGGAAGAAGCAAGAAATAGAAGGTTTCATCTCATAGCTATGGATGCTGTATCCTTTTTATATTTCTAGGTTTTTATAACTAGTAGAATATTTTAAAATCTTTTTTATTTTATAAAATCTTGTAAAGTCAGATCGATATTTTATCTTTAAAGATAAGTCTTTATTGATATGAAATTTTGCCATTTATACTTTTGAGTTCTCTTTTACTAATATAAGAAAGCTTTAGAGACAAAATAAGAAAACGTATTCCTAATGTTCTATAAATAGGTTTACAAAGTCCATGAATTTGCAAATATTTTTCCAACCTGTTTTTGCCAAGCTCTCAACATGTCTCATTTAACTCCTATTCTCTTCTTACCTGGTTCTTGGCTAGTTAAGGCCTTTGTAAAACTTGTATTTAAAAGTAGGTCTGTCTGTGGACTATTCTCAGGTCTGCTGTGGCTTCAACTCTCAGGCATGAGTTGGGACTCTCTTTAAGCCATACCTTGCTTTCCTATTATGGCATGTATCAGCTCAACTTTTTGGTAAGACTGTGGCTCATTACAGTAACTGCTACCGCTGACCTTCCATATTACTGAATATTGGAGAGTGAAAGAGAGGCCAAGCAAGACCTGAAGTATTTCTAGGTGTGTATTACTATGGTCAGGAATGGGAGAGGGATATGATGTCAGTTGGATACACTCCCTCCCACCAGGAGTAATCTGTTTCACTTTGTTATCATTTCTGATACTTTAAGTTATAGAAGTTTTTTTATCAACAATTTATTTATTCCTCTTATCTCCTGACCCAGTTGCTTACCTGTGCCGTGTGTTCCTTTAGCATTTCAATGTCTACTCTGCCTTTTCTGACACCATTCATCTGGGAGTGTTGGGGCATCTACTTAAAGCCTAAAGAGGGTGAAAGTCTGAGTCCCCTTTTCTGGCATGGGTAGAGGTGGGACACAGTTTTTTTCTGGAGTGTTTGGCTGGAGTAGAATAGTTATTGTCCAAAAGTTATCTATTTTGTTAGACTGCCTATCTCTTGGTTATTCAGTTAGAGAAGGCTTTTGGGATTTTTAAAANGTTTTTTTCTGGAGTAGAATAGTTATTGTCCAAAAGTTATCTATCTTGTTAGACTGCCTATCTCTTGGTTATTCAGTTAGAGAAGGCTTTTGGGATTTTTAAAATCTGTGCTAGTTGGTAATTCCAGGTTGCCAAAGAAAGCTCTTCACCTCCAAATCTGGGACTTAAAAGGCAAAAAGGGTAATTCACCACCGTGTTATACCATGGGTCCTGAGGGCCCTAGCTGATATGCCTTCTCTCTACCTTTCAGAGTCTTTCTGTGTGGGTTTTTTTAAAGATTTTTTAATTGATTTTTAGAGCTAGAACAAGGGGGGAGAGAGAGAGAGGAGAGCATTGATGTGAGAGTGAAACATCGATCAGCTGCCTCCTGCATGCCCCTGTACTGGAGATGAAGCCCAAAACCTGGACGTGTGCCCCGTCCGGGAATTGAACAAGCGGCCAACTGAGCCACCCTGGCCAGGGCTTTCTGTTTGTTTGTTTTTTGTTGCTTTGTTTTTTTAATATGTCTTTATTGATTTCAGAGAGAGGAAGGGAGAAGGGGAGAGAGAGAAACAGCAATGATGAGAGAGAGTCATTGTTTAGCTGCCTCCCGCATGCCCCCTGCTGGGAATCAGCCCCACAGCCTGGGCACATGCCCTGACTGAGAATTGAACCTCGATTGCCTGGATCATAGGTCGATGCTGAACCACTGTGCCACGATGGCAGGGCTTCCTGTGTTTTTTAAATATATAACTTCCAAGGGATTTAGCTGTTCTTAGTGGGAAGAGTGGGGAAAAGTACATCTTTGTCTACTTCATCTTCCTGGAAGCAATTCCCACCCACTACCTGTTTTGGAAATAGATTTTTTGGAACCACAGATATGCTCATTCATTTAGGTGTTATCTGTGCCAACTTTCATACTAAAATGGTAGAGCTGTGCAATTGCAACAGAGACCATATGGCCTGCATATTTACTATTTACAAAAAATGTTTGCTGGCCCCATCTCTAAAAGATTTAAGTGACTTGCTACGGTCACATGATCAGTTAGTGATAGATCAAGAGCTAAAACCAGTATCTCCAGATATTTGGCTGTTCTCTTTTTTCTGAAATGTTAACTGTTTTGTTTCCAGTTTTGGAAGTATATTCTGATTTGGTACTCTATTGGAACACATTGTGATCAATTAAATCACTATCTTTAATAGGATGTATTCACAGACTGTTATAGATGAAGTCAGTTCTAGTATGTGCACATTCACTTCTAGAGAGAGTACCGTTAAGCTTTTCAAAAGAAAAAGTTTTAACCTCATGTATCTTATTATACTGCACTGAAAATAAACATGACTGTGGATTCTTTGAATATTAAAGTATAAAAAATAATATTATATTTACTGTTTTTTTTGAAAGCCTAATGTTAGGATTTAATATTATAAAGTTTCATCTTCTATTATTAGAGGCTTTATTATTACTGGAATAGGTAAATTATATTTTATAATAATGAAAGGTAAATTCAACTTCTTACCTTTAAGTTTAGAAATTATAATTTTTCATATTGTGATTATTAAAATGAGTGGTGGTGTGAGGCTATATGTAGTTTAGCAATAGAAAAGGAAGCTCTTTCTCCCCACCTAGAGATATATTTTATCATGAGTAGTATATGCTTGAAAAATGTTACAAACAGTATAAACAGTATTCAGTAGAAAGTGAAAGTCTCTTTTCTCTATAATGTTCATATGGAATAGTTTAATACTTACCTTTTTCTACCTTTGAATTTATAAGCATGTACAGTATATACATGCATATTAAAAAAACTAAATGGACTCAGACTATGCTTTTTATTTCTACTCACTGATATATCATGGATGTAGGACAACTCTTAAACAAATAAAATCCTTAATTTTTTGCATTTCAGTATCAAAGGCATGCAAAGTTTGTAAATGACTATATTTTATACTATGGAGGCAAGAGAGAAGATTTCAAGCGATTGGGGTAAGTGTCATGAAGTTTATGTAGAATTGGAGGGGGCTGTGGAGATAGATCTTTTGAAGACCCACAGCTGTTATGTCTTCTGGTTCTGTAATTTTCCTCTGCTTTCCATTCTGATTTCCTTGTTATATCACAAGGTGGAGAGACCATCCATAGCTTCTAGCTAAGTAGCTTCTCATGAACCCCATTTTTCTGGCAACAGGTAGCCTGCTGAGCCAGATCTGCCCCTGGCAATAACAGAATTTGTGAGTTATACACATGTGCCTGATTGTGCGGTGTTTTTTTTCCCCCTTTGGGGAGGATCTTTGACCTTTTTAAACCTCAGCGTTTGGGATTGCTTTTGTAAGTGTAGGGAAAGCAAGAAACCTCACTCTTAATATTACCCACACCTGAAACTGCTTCCTATATTTGGGGCTCTTCTCTTCAGAGCCTCTTGGTTTTGTGTGAGTTTTTCCCTCTGACTTAACAATTTTCTGAATTGGGAGAGCCCTAAAAAACTTTATGCTGTCTCCTCTATCCCAAACTTATCTCCCCTCTCAATTTGGCGTGTGCTTCCCAACAATCCCTGTTCTACCCCCAAACTGTTAGCATCTGGAAAAATTATATTCTTCGACTCTCTTCCTTACTTAGTCTTCCTAAGAAACGGTAGTAAAATGAGGGATGGAAAACTCTTCATATATTTTTAAAAATTAGATCTCAATAGGGTAGGGTTATTGGCTTTTTTTTTAAACTTTCATACAGCTTTCCTTGTCCATTTAATGTTTACTCAGATTTCTCATCCTAGCTTCGGTTATTTATCACCTTGTGTATAATTGAAACCAGTGCTAGAGATGGATGAATTTCTTACCCATTTAAATTGCTTCTGTAGCAGTACTCTTTCTAGTGCCTTTTGAAAAGTACTGAAATAGTTCTTACAAACATATGTACATATGTACATTCACATAAAACTGTCCTTATCTCTGTGTATTATATATTTACTCAGGTGTTCAAAATCTCACAGGACTGCTTAACCTCCTAAATTTGACTAATTGTTTGTTTGTATTAAATTGGAATAGTTTTATTTTCCAGGGAAAATGACAAGACAGACATGGATGTCCTGCGAGAAAATCACAGGTTTCTCTGGAGTGAGGACGATGAAGTGGACATGAGTTGGTAATTGTAGCCATCGGCGCAGCGCGCGTCCAATGCTCCACCCTCTCCCACCCTTCGTGCAGCAGCTCTGAACTGAGGACGTGAACCGTTTCTCAGATTCTGACTCTAGTTTGGTTCTTGTGGTAATTTTTAGCAGTTTTAACTGACTTCTCATTGCTTGAGTTTGTCTTTAAAAAACATTTAGAAGAATATTGTTTGTTTGTCCTATGTTTCTTTTAAAAATTTTTATTTTTATTTTTTATCTTCACCCAAGGATATTTTTTCCATTGCTTTTCAGAGAGAGTGGAAGGGGGAGAGAGAGAGAGAAACACCAATGTGAGAGAGACACATCGATTGGTTGCCTGCTACACACCCTAACCTGGGCCCGGGAATGAGCCTGCAACCCTAACCTGGGCCAGGGAATGAGCCTGAGTCTAGAGCCTCTAGTGATTACACATGCCTTGGTCGGAATCGAACCCAGGACTCTTCATTCTGCAGGCTGGACACTCTAACCCCTGAGCCAAACCAGCTAGGACTTCTTTAAAATTTTAAAAAATATTTTGGGGAAAAAATAACCTGAAAATGGTTCTAAAAATCCAAACATTACAAAGGCTGAAAAATGAAGAGTAAGGCTCTTTCTCATTCCAACTGTCAGTCTTCTAGATTCCCTCTCTGAGAGAACAACTATAATAGTTAACGTTCCAATATTCTATGCACATATAAGTAATAGACCTCTTTTAAAACATTAATATTTATATCATATGCATTATTTATTTGACATTGCTTCCAAGTAGCAAACCACGGTTGAATTTCTAAATGAAGATTTATATTTTTTTATGAATCTAGGGAGAAGAGACTTGCAAAGAAATACTATGATAAATTATTCAAGGAATACTGCATAGCAGATCTCAGTAAATACAAAGAAAATAAGGTATGCCTTCCAAATATTTATAAAAGAAGGTTCTTACACAAGTACAGTGTTACTTTCTATTATACTATCATGCCCTACATTTTTCTTTTAAAGATGCTATTCTAGTCTCAGTTGCCCTGTATCTGTGAAGTATCATTTGGACATTTTAACTGTGCAGCTGTGGAATTTACAAAGGGCTCCTTAGTCAAGGGTGCTTCTTTGTGAGCTGAGGCAAAAAAGTCTAAAATTAAACGCAAGTGGCTACTGGATCCTCTTTCTAGAGCCTCTAGTGATTATAACGAATGATTTAATGCTGCAGAATGATGTCTTGTTTCACAGATGAAATTGATAGGCTATTTTTTCCAAATTTATTATCATTTATAAAGAAGCAGATGTACATCTTTTGTTATAGAAATGTCTATTCTAGTAAAATTAACTCTTAACAGTGCTAATTAGTAATGGCAGATTTCCATTCCCAGTTTACATCTTACTTTAGTTAATATTAAAGGGATTTTTATTCCTATCTCAAATTTCACATTTGTAGCTAGAGAAGATGACCCAAGAACATCTCAGTTTGAAATGGGAGAGGGGGGAATGTTGCAGAAATCTGTACATTTATATTATATTAAGAAAGATAACCTATTTAAAAAGCTGTCTTAAATTTATTTATCATAAGGATATTGTTTTCATTTAAATAGTTAAATCTCAGAACCATGGTTGGTTTAATTTTTTTCAGTAGTGCCTTTAATATATGGGTTGATTCACAGTATTCTTATAGATAATAGTAGTGTCCATTTTTATAGCCCATACACTTGGTGTATCCCAAAGACTTCCTCAGTTTCTTGTGAACTAGCTCTCATCTCTGTACTAGTTATTACCATATTGAATCCAAAAAGCACCACACACAGCAGTTGGAGTTACCTGAAGTTACCACATTGCAAGTTGAATGTGGAATATAGGCCTTTCTAAGAGCACGTAACAAAGCAGCTTTTTCAACTGGGACTCATTTGTTGACTGTTTTTCAGTATTTATTGAGGACCAGGCTGTGTGTTTTGGATTAAAACATGGTGTCTGCCCACCAAAAAACAAAACAACAAACCTATAGTCTAGCTGAGGGGAGAACGTGTACATAGTAAATAATTAAATATTTGTATTCTCCACTTAAAAGAACACGGTATTTTACTGGAAATCATGCTTTAAAGAGGATAATCTTAAAACAAAGTATATTTTCCTATTAGAACATGATAAATAGATATGAGGGTTAGTGCAAATAAGAAATCAGATATGACTCACAGGTTTTGAGTGTGAATACTAGAGAAATAGGAAATATGGAGGGAGGGGGATCTGTTCTTAAAAAAATTAAGACTTAATTATTTTAGAGCAGTTTTAAGTTAACAGAAAAATTGAGGGGAAGATAGATTTCCCATTTACCCCTTGACCCACACATATGAGGGGTATCTTTTTGGCATACCATGTTTGAGGTGTTGGAGACAGAGTAGTACCTTTGATTTTCTTACTAGAATGTGTTTTCTCAGTTTTATTTACCCAAAGACAGTGTTTTGTTTGTTTTTTAATAAACCAGCTCCTAGCTCAGTGCCTACTACATGTATATATAGTAGATACTTAGGTATTTTTAGTGAATTCCAACCTTTGTCCCACATGTCCATTTCCTTCTTTGTTGCTTCTTTCATCGTTGAGAATTTGGTTGGATCGTTGCATTAGTTAGGATTAGATTCAGCTGCAGGGAGCAGCAAGCACTCCCAAAGAACATTGGCTTAAGTGAGCTAGAAGCTCATATTTCTTTTACTTAAAAGTCCAAGCAGATGGCATGGAACCTTGTGTTGTTAGGAACTTAGGATCTTTCTCTCTTACCGCTTACATGTGTGAGCTCTTTGTGCTAGAAGGTACAGTGAGAAGATGATGCTTAGCACCAAGCCCTGAGTAACTCCAGTGTTTAATCCAATGTATCAACAGGAAAATTTATATCTTCAGGAAAGAATATAAAAACATACTGAGGCAAAACCTCTATGTAATCTTTAATAGGAGGAAATATGGCAGTTGTTTGTAACATTTCTTATCTCCCCATAAGATATACTTCATGGTGACAGACACTATTTTAATAATCACTTTTTATCCTCAGCAGAATGCTAAGCCCAGCAAGTAGTTGCTTAATAATTATTTGTTGAATAGAGTAATGAATGGAAGAAAAAGTTTGGAAACTATTTTGTTACACATTTGACTGTGCTTCAGTAGACATCCCAGTATATGCTGGATGGAAAGCAATCCTCACAGACATGTATTGGTTTAAAAACAAACAGTTATTTTGAATTTTTTATTTCTTTTTTCTTAAACTGGGAAGGTACTATTTTCTTTGGGTTTTAATTAGAATATTTTGAAATATTTGGTGCACTCATTTTTTATTTTGTTTTAAATATATCTTTATTGATTTTAGAGAGAGGAAGGGAGAGGGAGAGAGAAAGATAGAAACATCAATGATGAGAGAGTTATTGATTAGCTTGCCTCCTGCACTCCCCTTGCTAGGGATCGAGCCCGCAACTCTGGCATGTGCCCTGACCAGGAATCGAACCTTGATCTCCTGGTTCCTAGGTTGATGCTCAACCACTGAGCCACACCAGCTGGGCTTGTACCCTCATTTGCATTTAGAATACAAAATTACCTAATTCAAGTAATAGATTATTTAAAAAAGTAAAAATAACAAAGTTAACCAAGCACTGAACACTTCATCTGAATTGTTTCTCTTAACACAACAACCTATGAGATTAGGATTCTTATAATAAGGAAATAGACTGAGAAGTTAAATAACTTTCCCAAGGTTACAGAGCTAGTTAAGGAATGGTAGAGCTTCCTTTGGGTCTGCGTGATTCTGGAGCTGAGCTTTTAGCAATTATAAAAGTAAACTGAATAGAAAACTACACCATTAACTAGAATTATGGTAAATTAGCAAATGGATGTGAAAGATCTTAAAAGTCAGTGGAGAAAAATCATTTTTAGCCAAAAAACAAAGTTGTATTTAGGCATCTGTAGGATAGTCCTGCTTTAGGGCTACAGACTGATAACATTACTCTTTCCTGTTCGTGACTATGCTGCTGTTGTGGGAAAAGCCACAGATGAACAAATGGGTGTGGTTGTGTTTTGGTAGAACTTGATAAAAATAGGCAGCAGGCCTATGGGCCACAGTGTGCTAACCTGTGGTATAGTATGTACCAGGTCCTATTCTAAATACTTTATATGTATTATCCCATTTAAACCTCTTAACCCAAAGAGGTAGGTACTTGTATTACTCCTACTTTACATATGAGGAGACAGGATCAACTAGATTAAATAACTTGTCCACTATTACATAGCTGCTAAGTGGTAGAGCTAAGAAGTAAACCCAAACAGTCTGACTCCAAAGGCTGCACACTCTTGCACTATAGTATACTGCCTCTTTACTGTACATAACCTCTTTTTCTGTTAGTGTCATAGGATATATATGTATTTTTTCATTAATTTAGATATCTTGTGGCCTGGAACCTATAACTTTTAAAAATAAAGAAGAATGTTCCTTAACGGATAAGTTGGTAATTGTTCAGATGTATCCTGTAAGGAGAGAAAAAGCTATGATAATGGGAATTAGGTTTATATTTAGGTTGATAAATGTCATTGTGTCAAATGTTGGCCCCATGTTTGGATTTATATACAATTTAAATAATGTTTAAATTTACTCTGGCATTATTGTAATTTTTTTCTTGTCAGTTTGGATTTAGGTGGAGAGTAGAAAAAGAAGTAATTTCAGGAAAAGGTAATTCTTTTTTTTTAAAACTTTATAATATGATAAGGTTATTTTGTTATATTATTGAATTGAAGTCATTGGGTAAGATTATTTCTAATGTATACAGTGAATGATTATCTATAAAGTAAAATTAGAGAAAGTATACTCATGATGTATTACTAGCAGAGGTCAAAATAATATGCTTTAGATTTTTACCTTTAGAATTTTTACTTTTAGAACATTCAATTGATAAATAGAAAATGTTTAGAGTTAAAGATTTCATAGCAAGTTAGTTATCAACTGGTGAATACTTGAATTTTTCTCTATCAATTTTTGGAATAATGAGTTGGCATTACTGTGTTCCAGTCAAATCCACATTTTGAAAGTAGAAATTAAATATCATATTGAACCTAATAGAATTTTTAGACAGGCTACTCCTTCTGGGGAGTCACTGAGATTGAGCCCAAATATTTACTCTTACAGCAAAAGACCAGACATTTGGTAGGCAATCAGCAAATGCTTTTACTATGCATTATTGTAATCTATTCATAAAATTTCTCTGAATACTTAATATCTCTGTACTCTCTCATGCTATAGAATTCTCTTTATTGATCATTGCTTTTTTGTTGTTAATCCTCACGCAAGGATATATTTTTCCCCCATTGCTTTTTAGAGAGAGTGAGAGGGAGAGAAGGAGAGGGAGTAGGGAGAGAGAGAGAGAAACATCAGTGTAAGAGAGACACATTGATTTGTTGCCTCCTGCACACACCCCAATCAGGGCTGGGGATCAAACCTGCAACCAAGGTGTGTGCCCTTGACCAGAAATTAAACCTATGACCCTTTGGTGTTTGGGCTGGTGCTTTAACTGCTGAGCCACACCAGCCAGGGCTCAATAATTGCATTTTTAATTGCAATAAAAAATTAATGTTAGCACTCTGAAAACTACAGAGGAGCATTTAGGAAATAATTTTAAATTAACAACTTAAAAATTTATAACTGAAGATAAAGGTTACATTTAAAAATGAGTAAGCATTTATGCCATCACTGTGGTTCATATACATCTTCTATAAGTTAAATGTCTGTGTCAGGTGTGAAGTTGGATATGCAATTAAACAGGAATTTTTTTCTTTCGATAATAAATATCAGCCCTGAAGCTACTTTGGAGGAGAAGGAAAAATAATAAAGTTAAAGCTTTTTAAACTTTTCTTGAGATTACATTTTAGTTTGTTTTTACCTAAAACAATGAGATATATTGAAATGTCTGTCACAGTTTTAAAATTTTGTACTTTTATTGAATGGAATTTTCAGATGATGGAAGTAACGCTGCTTTTTAAAAAATTGATGGACGTTCTCTAAATTCATGTAACTGAAGAAAGGATTAGTTGGGAAGGGGAGAGAACGCTTTTGTTGTGATTTATAAAGTTACAGTTTTGTTGCTGTTTTAACAATAGAGCCATTACTGAACATGTACTGACTAAATAATGCATTCCTTGGGAATCAGTAAAAAATGCCAGTTTAGAAAAGTTATCAGCCTTTTGGACTGATCATTTTCTTTTTCTTTTTTTAAAAATATATCTTTATTGATTTCATAGAGAGAAAGGAGAAGGATAGAGAGATAGAAGCATCAGTGATGAGAGAGTCACTGATCGGCTGCCTCCTGCATGCCCCTTGCTGGGGATTGAGCTCACATTCTGGGCATGTGCCCTGACTGGGAATCGAACCCCGATCACCTAGATCCTGGGTCGACCCTCAACCGCTGAGCCACGCCTGGCCGGGCTGGACTGATCATTTTCAAAATTCATTTTGATAATTTCATTTATATGAAAAGTTCAGATTCCTGTTTGTGCAAATTATTGAGATACAAATTTTTTGTTTGTACAAATAAAAGTTTGATCTTGTTTTTGTCTGTGAAAGTTAATAATTTTTGAGTTCCTTTTTTCCCCCTCTTGGATCATCAGTATTAGTCCTTTTTTGCAGAAGGTTTTAATGTACAATGGACATGATAATGTGGTATTGATTTTAGTGTTAAGTGATTCTAAAATTTAAAGCATGGGGTTTGTTTCACTCAAAGTGCTAGCATTTTAAAATGTGCTCTAAATGCCATTTTATGCTGATACTTAAAATAAATGTCATTATGTTAATACTTAAAAATATCAATTTTAATATTATTATTAAATATTGAAAAGGATTCACCCAAATGTATGTTCATGTACTTTGAAAAACATATTTATTCTTTTAGGGTATTTGTGAGTGCACTCTTTTAGTATTACCATTTTCCAAGAATAAGATTCTCTAACGGAGTGTCACTAAAACTCTGTAGGTGAATATAAACAGTCGATCTATCTGTTGAGCAAAAATTCTGTGACTGATTTTTTTTAATCAAAATTTTTTTAATTGATTTCAGAGATAGAGATAGAGAGTGAGAGAAAGAGAAAGAGAGAAAAACATCAGTTAGTTGCCCCCTGCACATGCCCCGACCGGGGATCGAACCTGTAACTTGGGTATGTGCCCTGACTAGGAATTGAAGCCACCACCTTTTGATGCATGTGATGATGCTCCAACCAACTGAGCCATACTGGCCAGGGCTGTGACTGATTTTTTTTTTGAATAGTTCATTCAGTTCTTTAAATTAATCCTTGTATACATATTTGTTGAGCATATTACAATTATTGTGGTCAGTTGTTTATTAATGCTGACTTTATAGAACTAAGAATTTATGTATATTAAGAGTAAATTTCAGTGATAATGCCAGATTACATAGAATATTGTCACCATCTACCATAGCTAATAATTCATTCCTTTTTTGCAGGCCAGTTTTCCTGTGGAAATAAATATTGTGATGAAAAAGACAACTTAAAGAGTTGGGAAGTTAACTTTGGTTATATTGAGCATGGTGAAAAGAGAAATGCACTTGTTAAATTAAGTAAGTTAAGTAAGTTGACTCTAGGTGGGATATGATTGACTTCTTCAAAGTTTAATAATTTAGATTTTAAAATATATAGACTAAGATTCAATTCAAAATTTTTATTTTTATTTATTTATTTACTTAAACATATCTTTATTGATTTTAGAGAGAGGAAAGGAGGGGGAGAGAGAGAGATAGAAACATCAATGATGAGAGAGTCATTGTTCGGCGGCCTAACCCGCAACCCGGGCATGTGCCCCGACCAGGAATCAAACCCTGTTCTCCTGGATCCTAGGTCGATGCTCAACCGCTGAGCCACGCCCGGCCGGGCCAATTCAAAATTTTTAATGTGTCTTCCTGTAAGTGCTCTTTTTCCCAGAGCTTCCCAAAGTTTCAAACAGAGTTTGAGCCCAAAATTTTTATATTCTCAGCATTATGGTGACCTTTAGGTGAAACAGTTGTAATGTCAAAAGTAATGCCATTTGTAAAGTGAAGACCTCTTCTCATTAACTTGAGAATGTTACCAGTGCAGAGTAAGATGTATCGTATCAGAAAAGGCAATGTACAGTCTCACCTTAGCTGATAGCCATATTGTTGTGGTGGGGATAATAAATAAATATACTCTCTTTGTGTCAATAAAAAAAAGTTTTAGGAGGGTATAATTGTTCTTGATATCTATCTTAAAAGCTTAGGGTTATACTGCAGAATTTAGTAGTTTCTCTTAGTACGCATGTTTTAGAATCTGTCATTCATTCTTTTTTTTCCCCCTAAACTGGAATTATGTCAGCGTCTTTTCTCCATCATATTAACAGCCTTCTCTAGGTCCTAAGTAAATGTGCCCTCAGAGTGTTCTGCCTATTCCAGAAGTCATGAATTTCCTCGTATACTACTTAACGCACACCAGTGCAGACTGGTTTCTGAGTTCCTCCTGGAAGTGCTTGCTCATGAGGAAAAGTCAACTAGAGTGAACTGAGATTAAGGCAAAAGAAGAGGCCACAACTGTGGGACTTCTTGAAAAGCCCTCTTCCATTTGAAAACCCCTGGAGCTCTTCAGAGGAAATGGCTATACCCACACTATTGTTATTAGATATCTTTGATGTGAGATGCACATTAATGCTGCCTGTTGCTTTTAAAATAAGTCAACAGCACATTTTCTAAAGTAATGTTAGAATTTCAATTCCTCAAGCATTCTTATATTATTATTATACATGCATTTGAGGTGGAGAGAATTGGATTGTTTTTTCAGATTGTTTCCTCTTTTATTGTAAAAGAATATAAGGAAAAATGAGAATTTATGATACTAAAGGTAGAGTAGCAGTGCAGTGATTTATATTCAGCAGTATGACTTTTTATTTTTATTTTTTTTAGGATTATGCCAAGAATGTTCCTTTAAACTAAATTTTCATCACAGGTAATATCTTTTAAAATGCTATTGTTAATGTTTAGTAATCTTGAACATAGTCACTTACCTGCATGGGATGTCTAAATGTAGACTTGAGTGGTTGATGGTTTAATTAGTTGATTATGTGGAATATCCGGCATCACTTTATGACCACATAAACAGGGGAACTGGAAGTGCACCGTGCCTTACTCTAGCCAAGCAGTTTTAAAATGTGAAGGCCTGTGCAGGGTGGTAGATAGATTCTAGGATTTTTAGTTTGGAGTCAATGTTCAGATACTGTAATATTCTTAGACCTTTATTATAAAGTAGTTCTTCATAATGTGATTCTTGTGTCTCATTTAAACAGTGCTTTAATTGGAGTTTGTCATTCATAGCAAAGGATTATATACTTCTCTGTTAAAATAAGGCTCCTATAGAATGAGCTAGAATATGTCTGCATATTAAGTTTGGGAGGGGTATTGGTGTTCTGCAACATGCAGTATATATAAGATCATGGGCTTTGAAATCGGACCCCTGTGTATTCCTCTTGGCTATTCCACTTACTGGTCATCTTCTTGAGCAAGCTACTTAACCTCTGTAAGACTCAATTTTATCATCTCTAAAAATGAGGATACTGAGGTTATTGTGGGTATTAAATGAAAGTGCATGTAAAGTGCTTGACACAGTGCCTGGCCTATGGTAAGTCACACATAGTGGAATCCCTGGCATGGAAGATGTTCAGACAAAATCTGTGTGATCTGTCAGGAGAGTGGTGTCAGGTTTCCTGTTCTGAATAACAGTTGAAAATCTAAGAGTAAGATTCTGCAACTTAGTCTAAGTTAATATAGTAATTTTAAAATCAGCTATATAAATGTGCCCAATCTAATATTTTAGCTACTAAATATTAAAAATAAATATTAAATAATAATTTTTAAAAATTTTAAATTAGCAGAATTTTTAGATTACTTGAATAGCCTAAGCCATTATTTTCCCTCTATATCAATGATACTGAGTAATATCAAAGGTGTTTATTTAACCTTGAGTTTCAGGCTTCCTTTCAAACTTGTAGTGATTCTTATGAGAGGTAAAAAATGGTTACTGTCTTAAATAGTATTACAGCATTTAGCATAAGAACCTTAATTTTTGGAAAGTCTAATAAGTTTCTTAAAAGTAATCTTCTCTGTTATCTTTTCGTCTTCCTTCTCTGAGTTTCAGCATTATCACCTTTTCCTATTAAGTATTTCTTTTCTTAACCAATTAAAGTCTATTGCTTGCCAGCCATGGTACTGACAACCTTGTAAACCTGGCCTAGAAGAGATAAAACTATAGCAGTAAAAGGATAAATGGTCTAAAGTAGACGTGAGTTAACAATAAGTCCTTCCACCCTCACTCTGTAATAGTTTTACAAAAGGGTGGGGCAAAAGTAGGCTTATATTTGTGAGTTCATGAGACGGTGTTTATTCTTGTATTATTATTATTATATTATTTTCCATACAAACAACTGTAAACCTACTTTTGCCCCATCCTGTATATTCTTTTATTCTTTTGCCTTTTTTTTTTTTTTTTTTT